AATTTAAATCTCAGACGTTTAAGTATCGATTACACAATCATGTATATAATTTTTTCATAAAGTGTACGCTTTATCAAGAAAATACAAGTACACCAAGCAACAACGTAACTTTAATTGGGAACTTAAACTCCAGTTAGAACGTTGAAATTGTATATCCCAGTCAGAAATGTAATTATAGGTCATTGGACATGGGCCGACACAAAGACACAGGGTCCCATAAACCAAATACCCTCACACAGTAGAATCAAATGTTTATACCCAGCACAGCTATCCGCATCCAATTTCAGAATTGAAATTCGGGTGGTTAAGATTTACGCGATAATTTAAGCGATAAAACGGAATATAACTTTTGACTCATAATAACGCTTTGCACGGATCATGAATTTTCCAACAGAGAAAGGAGGTGAGAAAGGCAAGGTAAAATCTGGAGATGTATATCAATAAGTGACTGTTAATAACCATAGACTTAATTGCCTCTTCGTTATGATTTGACCTCGACAAATTCACTTCTACCCTTAATCTAACAATATTGACTGACCCACACCATTCGGCCAACATCTACAAAATGTGCCCAAATTCACCACTAGTCTAACATAATTGACAGTCCCACACCATAAGGCCCTCATGTAGTCTAACACAATTGACAGTCCCACACCATTAGGCCTAGACACATACACCATTTGGAACACCTCTACTCTTTGCCTGACACTGTTGGCTGACCTATGCCCCGTTAGGCCCAAACATATCTAGTACAACACTATTCGGGGATACACACAATTAGGCTCACATTTTTTATGTCACTTTTTCACAATATCCCTGTACACATTTAAATGGGATATTTTGTAGCTCATTCCGATGGTTGGTTTTTCATAATATTGGTCCCTGTTTTCAATTTAAATGTTTATTTGCGTATTTCAGATGTAAACAATGTGTCGTACTATTCTGCTCCATATTACACTGCCACCTGTGTCTATTCAATCTGGCAAAAAATTGTCTTAATCTAAAATTCTGGCATGACATTTAAAACCTACAATGATAAATGGTCTAGCAGGTCCGATATCAAGTTCAACACAAAACATGAAAAAGTCCTTTATCCTCCAAATAGCTCCTAACCTTAATTTTGCAGCATTCAGATGTAATTGTCATTATCAAAATGGACAATATATCTTAATCCATTATATTCCTACACACATCCAGTATTGAGGATCTGCCTAAAGCTTTATAAATAACAAAAAGTACTCGGTATTAGTAACTCTGAAAGTCTTTATTCCCTCGGTGTTAAATACGTCATTCTACCACTCGGCCCTTTTATTCTGGCTGAACTGGACTTTGTCGATCCCCAACAACCTGATACCTCAGTTGAAATGTCCATCTAAAGTTTGCAGGTCTAGGGTTCCAATCCTGTCTTACATTATGTTTCTACCTCGGCTCCTTCAGCACCCTAAACCAGGTGATGAGGAATATTTCATTCAGATAAAAGTACACTTCACAGGACAGATAAAACTACCAAACAAACATGAAAATTAGCACATTTAGTAGACAACTTTGAGAATTTACAGAGAAAATTAGCCAAACTAATCTTAACACTGTGGCATCCCTTAACAACAAATACACCTGCTATAACAGCTGGAGACTGAAACTAACATTTTTTACCATAGTCTCTGCAAACTACACCCCCTACACAGAGCCATACACTGTTCAAACACTTAGTCAACAGCAATAAGTCACCTGTAATACTACAGTAGGCAATAAACAAGAATATAGTATAAAATCTGTTTTCTGGATCCAAACAATCTCTGCCAAAAATACAGTCACCTAATTCCACTACCTTATGATTACTTCTCTATCTGGACTTCACAGTTTCAAATGTCCTTGTATATTGACCTTAAGCCACAAGTATCAACCAAATATTCCCCCTTAACCACAACACACAGGAAGTTCAGAACCCACAACACACAGAAACTTCAGAACCCACAACACACAGGAAGTTCAGAACCCACAACACACATGAAGTTCAGAACCCACAACACACAGGAACTTCAGAATAGCAACCCACCTTCATCCTTTCTACTGGTAGGATTATAAGACCTTTTTATGCCCAGGGGTGTTGGATAGGGAAATTCCACCTGAGGTTTATTCAAATTTGGTAAAACCAGAGGCTTGCCACAATTTCCGTATCACAGCATCAGAATGTTTCCATATTGGTAACATCACGTCATTGTAGTCCCATTATGACATCATGCTCGGGAAATGGGTGTAAGATAGAAATTTCTTACACTTTTTTCTTACCCTTGATAGTTCTGTCATATATACTCACAGGAACCAGAGAATAGTACACCTAGGTAAACATTGTTTCTTTTATAGCAGACAACCAAACACATAATCTGGACAGTTCTTGTTTATCAAAATATCACACAACCAAACACATAATCTGGACAGTTCTTGTTTATCAAAATATCACACAACCAAACACATAATCTGGACAGTTCTTGTTTATCAAAATATCACACAACCAAACACATAATCTGGACAGTTCTTGTTTATCAAAATATCACACAACCAAACACATAATCTGGACAGTTCTTGTTTATCAAAATATCACACAACCAAACACATAATCTGGACAGTTCTTGTTTATCAAAATATCACACAACCAAACACATAATCTGGACAGTTCTTGTTTATCAAAATATCACACAACCAAACACATAATCTGGACAGTTCTTGTTTATCAAAATATCACACAACCAAACACATAATCTGGACAGTTCTTGTTTATCAAAATATCACACAACCAAACACATAATCTGGACAGTTCTTGTTTATCAAAATATCACACACCCAAACACATAATCTGGACAGTTCTTGTTTATCAAAATATCACACACCCAAACACATAATCTGGACAGTTCTTGTTTATCAAAATATCACACACCCAAACACATAATCTGGACAGTTCTTGTTTATCAAAATATCACACAACCAAACACATAATCTGGACAGTTCTTGTTTATCAAAATATCACACAACCAAACACATAATCTGGACAGTTCTTGTTCATCTAACAACAACTAGACACCCAGACTGAGCGAGACATATCAAAATACTAGCCAACTTAACATGTGATGTGGACAGTGTTTTCTGTACTGTACATTTAGATGTGTTAAAATCAACTGAAATGCAAAAAATATAATCCCTTCTGTTATCCCTAAATCTTCAATATTTCATATATTTTACTATCAATCAAATTTGTGGGTGGCATTTCCAATAAAAGTTTTGACAACAAGGCAACAAATAAATGTCAGAAGGAAATGTTACTGAAGCTAATAGATATACTTTTTTAATTTGGGGACACAGCCAAAACTGAACCCGATCTACAACCCTAACCAGCGATTAGTATAGATACACCAACATCAGCACAGACAACATGCTATCGTTAGCGCCATAATTGAATTTTTCGTAACTTATTAGCCTCTGGTTATTTCTGTGTTTCCACCGTGATAGACCATGCTGCCAGAAATCGTACTCCACACCTAAAATCTGGTAAAATCTTACTTAATTACAAGGGGTAGATATGTGCATTTGTTTTCCAAGATAACATCTGATTTTTTTAAATTGATACAAGAAAATGCCACAAGCCTAAGATATAGGATTCATGTTGCTATGGCAATGGACATTCTGTTTGTATCGATCAAAATTAACCAATTACGTTAAGTTTATTTTCATTCAATATTGTACACACAGAAGGTTTCAATTTTAAACCTTGTTTACGAGATCCTATTATAGATGCTAAACTAGCTAGGCCTTTCCCATTTTTCAATAATGGACAATCTTATCCACTGATCTGGGCTGTTCTATTGAGAGGGTGGGGAGGGGGACAATACCATATGCAGCATCCCTTTCTTTTTAACAATATTAGTTGCCTAAGAGCAAACAAAATTTATCTGATTCTTAAATATGAATTTCTTTAATAGTTTTCCATGATAAAATACATAAAAGCTACCAAATATGACTGAAATATGTACTGGGGTTGGAGTTTATAATGCACAACTTTGAGAACGGTTCTATTTTATATTCCTTTTATTTAGCTTTACAGACAGTTATGGGGGTTTTCAGCAATAATCACATACACAAATACAGTAAACTGTACTAAACACTCAGGCAACAAGCAAATACACTTTAAACACTGTTCAATAAAAAGCCAGAAAAACCTGACACCAACTGGAGGTATTTTAAAAGAATCAGACACAAAAGAACACATGATTTGCCTCCATTGAGATAGCATTACTGTTAAATTTGTAAAGTTAATTTATTTATTGTAATGTACTTCATGATACTGTCTACAACCCCCAAAGATCCTGGTGTAGAATGTGTAGTAACATTCAGAATGATGAGAGCACTTCCGTATCTATAAGCTTACATTTGTTCTCCTTACATGAGTATACGTTTGTGCAGATCGAGTTTAAATACAGTAAAACAGGAAATTTTACCTACTTTCCATTTCATTGCTGCCTTTTACACCATAGATGAAGAAATTCTACAAGGGCTAAAATATTTTAAAGATCTGGCTAGACCCAGATTTTGCTGTATAAAATATCAAATATGAAGAATATCTTTTGGGGACAAAACATTATGCTTTGTAGTCATGACATCACATACAACATTATGACATCTGTTATTGATGAGACACAAAGAACAGCATGAGTGATATCATGGAATGGCTAGTGACTTAATACCTTTCTAAATCAAATTTTTTAATCAAAGCCAGGTCGTTTTTGTGATAGGGAAGTGTGCTATACACTGCATCTCCAAACCTTCCGTACATTGCTATTTGAAACAAGAGGCAATGTGCCTGTATCCAGCAGACAACCTAACACATCACAGTAGGACTTACCATCATGACCTGTTTGGACACCGGTCATTTCTTTGCCCCCCTCGGAACTCTCCTTGAACACCGGTCTTTTCCTTGCCCCCCTCGGAACTCTCCCAGTAGTACTTACCATCATGACCTGTCTGGACACCGGTCGTTTCCTTGCCCCCCTCGGAACTCTCCGCCTCAGACTTGACATGATTAGGCTCTTCCTCCATTGACATTCTGTTGCTCACTCAACATTCCTCCTGTGATAGACAGAACAGGATATCATGAACTATTACTGATTACAATAACATATTTATCATACAGCTTTCCCTGCATATTTGGCTTCTGTATTTGTGATACTTAATGTCTATGCAGTAATTGAATAATATTAACTTACTTTAATACAAGTGCAAATAGTTTGGACAAAAATTATTATGCATATTCTTGATTTTTAAAAGTTTCATTAAAAATATTTAACATTAAATATTCTGACCTTCCTTATATATATATATATATATATCTGTATCTACTAAATATTCATTTCTGCTTTTGATTATATGATTGGAATATGGAAATAAAATGCATTAACTGTTTTGAATTATGCATTCACTTAAATGATCAAATGAATCATGTTTAATCATATCCCTATAATTTTCAATACAAAACATTTTCCAACAAATCCTTCCTTCTTTTCATACCACAACATATTCCACATCATATAGATGTGGATATAGAGGCAGCAATGCCTGCATCCACGAATATCCTATTAAATCCTTTTAAAATTTTACAAAGACTGAACTTTTTGTCAGCATTGAGTTATCTCCCTTTGTGGAATATAGTCTGTGGGTACAAAGACTAAACTTTTTGTCAGCATTGAATTATCTCCCTTTGTGGAATATAGTCTGTGGGTACAAAGACTGAACTTTTTGTCAGCATTGAGTTATCTCCATTTGTGGAATATAGTCTGCGGGATATGAATATTGAGCATGTTCTTACCAGAAAATTCTTCGACAGGGTCAATTTTATTGGACAATAGATCTGTCAATCATGATGACACCTACGGGCCAATATGTCCAGGGGAAGACATTAAGCTTGGGAGATGGTGTTGGATAAGGACGGGTAAATCTGTTCACTGTAGACCTTATATAAACACCTTGCTGGTGTACATTAGCAATACACACCACCATGAACAGCTTTATACAGACAATGCAATTAAGATTTCTCATTTGCATTATGTATTTTACTTGACCAGGGGCTATTCAAATCACTCATCCAGAAGTGGATTGGGTAGAAATTACATGTAGGAACACATTTTGTCTCTCTGATCTGTTTCTTTGCTCAAAACCAAGTTAATAAACTACTAAATACCAGAAACTTTTGTTCTGTCAAATATTCACCCTTTAATGTTATATTCCTAATTGGCTGAGTTGTCTTCTCAGTCTTCACATGTAATTACTACAATATATGGTCAGTCTTCACATGTAATTACTACAATATATGGTCAGTCTTCACATGTAATTACTACAATATATGGTCAGTCTTCACATGTAATTACTACAATATATGGTCAGTCTTCACATGTAATTACTACAATATATGGTCAGTCTTCACATGTAATTACTACAATATATGGTCAGTCTTCACATGTAATTACTACAATATATGGTCAGTCTTCACATGTAATTACTACAATATATGGTCAGTCTTCACATGTAATTACTACAATATATGGTCAGTCTTCACATGTAATTACTACAATATATGGTCAGTCTTCACATGTAATTACTACAATATATGGTCAGTCTTCACATGTAATTACTACAATATATGGTCAGTCTTCACATGTAATTACTACAATATATGGTCAGTCTTCACATGTAATTACTACAATATATGGTCAGTCTTCACATGTAATTACTACAATATATGGTCAGTCTTCACATGTAATTACTACAATATATGGTCAGTCTTCACATGTAATTACTACAATATATGGTCAGTCTTCACATGTAATTACTACAATATATGGTCAGTCTTCACATGTAATTACTACAATATATGGTCAGTCTTCACATGTAATTACTACAATATATGGTCAGTCTTCACATATTATTACTACAATATATGGTACGTAAATATGACATGTAATTACTACAATATATGGTATGTAAATATGACATGTAATTACTACAATATATGGTCAGTCTTCACATATTATTACTACATTATATGGTACGTAAATATGACATGTAATAACTACAATATATGGTATGTAAATATGACATGTAATTACTACAATATGGTACGTAAATATGACAAATTCACCCTGATTACAGACCATGTAAGGCAAATATTCAACGACGAAATGTCCTGGTTATTATTTGTGTGAACTACATATTTGCAAGTGAATTTACAAGGGGAATCAATCTCATATTAAAATATTTCATGCATATTCATAGAGGCACATCAAAAGTTTACATCATGTGCTCATGTTATTTTTACTTATTCAATTACTCCTGACTAAATCATTAGAATCACAATCCTCTCTTTGTAAAAGAATCAGAAAAACGAGAAAATGTGTGTAAGACATGAATGTCCCCGTCACCATGTGAAAGTGATTTTAGTGTTTGATTATGTTCTATAAAAAGTTACGACTTTGATCTTGACAACCTGAAATATGACATACAGTCGAACCTCGTTATCTCGAACTCTTTTAACTCGAAGACCCCGTTTATCTCGAAGTATTTCTCAGGTCCCGGCCAAATCTCTTCTTTATCTTAGTAAATAAAACTCTGATTATTCGAACCCTGAAAAGTCGAAAAACTTGGATACCTCGAAGTAAAATATTGTCTTCATAGTGTTCGAAATTCATTTTGTCACTTGTTAATTCTTTGATACAAATAAAACGCAAAAGTACGACATTTCGCCATTCCGTGTTATGAGCATCTTTTGTTGGTAGACTAGCATGAAATCGGTAAGATTACAGCAAATTTCATAACAAATTTATGAATCCGCATAACTCGAATACTCGGATAACTCGAAGTTTTCCCACGACCCCGTCGACATGGAGATAACGAGGTTCGACTGTATGTACAAATTCAAGGCATAATCATACTTCATGTTGGTATATGGAGAAACATAGAGAACTATTTTCTATGAATAGCAACATGCAGTGATCTTTGAAACATGAACTCATCGGAGGTATTCTCATACCTGAAATCTGTATACTCTTTGATGAAAATCTGTTAAGAAATGAAGAAGCTAAAGTAAGGACAATGAATCGGTCGATGATTTTCTATATTAAGCAACAGTGACCTTGGCCTTGATCCTGGAACCCTAAAACACACAGATGCCAGAGGTATTCTCACACTCGACCTTCGTTTAAAGTTTGAAGAAATTTGTCAAAGAATCAAGTTGCTGGAGTGTTTACATTGAACCAGGACAGGACAGGACAGATATGGTCAAGACTATATTCCCCCCAATTTCATGGTGGGGACATAGAAACCTATGACCTTGATTTCCATTTAGTTTAAACTTTATTTTATTATCAGTATAATATTCCATTTATAGACATAGGATTCAAAAACAAGTACAAAGTACTTATGATTTCCATTTGGTATACAACATTCGTTAAGTAATAATTTCCCTTAAGTTTTGAAATAAAGACGATGTTCTTATTACAGGAGTAAGGATAAATATGTTCGCAGTAGCGTGTCTGTGACTACCTCAGTCTTACTAGCCACAACACACACCATATCTGTGCATGCAGTAATGGAATATGTCATCCCTATTTTAAGAGCATGATGTTAACGATAAAGAGATTTGGATGGGACACCTATAAACAAAAACAGTTTACCTAATGACATTGTAAACTGTATGTATCTAACTCATTTGTCTAAGTACCTCCTCAACAAAACAACACAGCTTAAAGTATAGGCTACAATCAGATAGGTTTTTACAGTAACACAGTTAATGGTGTCAATTCAGCACTACATTCTCCTTGTTGCAATAAAGATTCCTGTGGAAATCATGCAATCAACTAGATGACCAATAGACATGTATCTGTCCTTGATCATTAATTTATATGACCTATATGTAAAATATCTCAATATCTGTATAAACAATAGGGTCAATGGGCCTGTATCTGACTTTGGCCATCAACTTGATGACCGATGGGCCTATATATGTCTTTGGCCTGCAACTAGATGACCAATGGGCCTGCATATGTCTTTTGCCTTCAACTAGATGACCAATGGGCCTGTATCTGTCTTTGACCATCAATTAGATGACCAATGGGTCTGTATCTGTCTTTGACCATCAACTAGATTACCAATAGGCCTGGTTATGCCTTTGACCAGAAAACAAAATGACTATGAGGACTGCTTATGTTTCTGTCAATTAACTAGATGATAATAAACAATAGGGTCAATGGGCCTGTATCTGGCTTTGGCCATCAACTTGATGACTGATGGGCCTATATATGTCTTTGGCTTGCAACTAGATGACCAATGGGCATGTATCTGTCTCTGACCATCAACTAATTGACCAATGGGCCTGTATCTGTTTTTGGCCATCAACTAGATGAGGAATGGGCCTGTATCTGTCTTTTACCTTCAACTAGATGACCAATGGGCATGTATCTGTCTTTGGCTATCAACTAGATGACCAATGGGCCTGAATATGTCTTTTATCTTCAACTAGATGACCAATGGGCCTGTATCTGTCTTTGACCATCAACTAGATGACCAATGGGCCTGTATCTGTCTTTGGCCATCAACTAGATGACCAATGGGCCTGTATCTGTATTTTATCTTCAACTAGATGAACGATGGGCCTGTATCTGTATTTTACCTTCAACTAGATGAACAATAGGCATGTATCTGTTTTTGGCCATCAACTAGATGACCAATGGGCCTGTATCTGTCTTTTACCTTCAACTAGATGACCAATGGGCCTGTATCTGTCTTTGGCCATCAACTAGATGACCAATGGGCATGTATCTGTCTTTGGCTATCAACTAGATGAACAATGGGCCTGAATATGTCTTTTATCTTCAACTAGATGACCAATGGGCCTGTATCTGTCTTTGGCCATCAACTAGATGACCAATGGGCCTGTAGCTGTTTTTGGCCATCAACTAGATGAACAATGGGCCTGTATCTGTCTTTTACCTTCAACTAGATGAACAATAGGCATGTATCTGTCTTTGGCCATCAACTAGATGACCAATGGGCCTGTATCTGTCTTTGACCATCAACTA